TTTGAAAGTAGCATCAAAATTTCGACTCGGGAAAAGAACCTACTTTAATCACCAAAATATCGAGAGTGTTTTTAGGTTCAAAATAGGAGTAACGTAAAATTTATAGAATTAAAAATTCAAAAGAGACGTAAATGAATATAATCGTCAAAGTAGGTTCAAATAAGTATATTGGTCAGTTAAATAGGTTCAAAGTATCTTCAAAAGTTTGAAAGTAGCATCAAAATTTCGACTCGGGTTTATTGCGATTCGCTGGCTTCATAACGGAGTATCTTATTTACCGCTGTAAATTGCGTGCATACCATAACAAACTTCGTGTTTACAAGTGTGCACACATGAAACGCAAACGTACGAACTATACTATATTTGAGAGCGGTTCCAGTTTATTTGTTTATATAACCACGTATCGCATCTATCCACATTAAACGGATTAAAGGAATGCATTAACTCTCTATGCCGCGCCGTATTCCTCAGTAGGTCGTCAAAAGTTTTAGCCGATAATTAATGCGTTACCGTGTAATACACGGGGCTGCAACGTTAATACAATGTCAACTGTTATAATTAAATTTAGAAGCAGATAGCGCACACAAGGTAGTTAGCCCGCGGCGACCTGCATTGCGACCGAACACAATGCGACATGCCGCACAATGTTACGTGTGTTCGTTAGATACCAATCGCGGCGACAATGTATCTCACTCGTATTACCAACGTCACGTGAATCGCAATTCAATTTGTAACTCGCAAACGTGCACCGCGAGCGTCTAATCGGGTTTTGGATAATTTCTATCGTTTATCTCGCATCCGCGGACTGAAAAATTGCTCTCTCTCTCGAAATCCACGGACGTTGATGTACGTGAAAAAAAAAAAACAAAAAAAATATCGCGCGCGCGAGAAAAAGAGAGACAAGCCGCAACAAATAATGTCGGCACTAGCGTAAAGGGATTTTTTTTATTGGACTCACCGGTAACTTTGATGTGATACGGTAACTGCGCTCGCCACGTGTCTTGCATTTTTCGATCAGGCGCGACGCATCGGTACTCCCCTCCATCCTGATACACCACTCGACTCAGAGCAAGGGGTCCGGGTCCGCCGACCGGATCCATGCCGGGTCCGTGGCCCCAGCAACCGCCGTCGCATTCGAGCGTCACCGCGCCGCCGATCTGCACTTCCATTCTTCGGGAATCGGTCGCCTCGCCGTTGAGCGCCTCCGCCTCGGTCTCCATATCTGGATCATCTAAATACCATTGATTTAAATCTTTCGACGGTTGACAAATTCGAAGACAATCGAATTTAAACGTTTTCGCGCGTAACCAAAAGAAAATAATGACGCCAGTAACGCGAAAAAGTAAACAGCGCTCGACTGAGACAATAGTTTTCAGACTTTTCTTTCGGTACGCGTGACTCATTTGTTCGCTATATTTTGCGAGGAATAAAATGCGGTATAAAAGTATGCATGAGGTCATAACAAATGCATGGCCACACACCGTGAAATAAGAATATTGTAGGAAATTTGCCTAGCCAAAAAATATTTTTGCTAAAAACTTCTCGCGCTTTTTTCTGAATAACACAGACAGTTAAGTATTTTTGTTGTTCTTCGTGTGTGTGATATGTTTAGGAAAACGGATGAAAGTCAGTCTTCGCACGATTATAATCACAGAGACAAATAAAATATACTTTCGCTCGCTCTATCTTATTATTGCTTTCTATCTTATTTTCATATTTCTTATTTATATATTTATATCCTATCGTATATTTTAAACTTTAATTCCGCAATTATACATATACATAATATACATAAAATAACATACATAAAATCTTTTTAAAATATATTTAAAAAATAATGTTATTTTTTAATATAAAAGTCACGTGGTTAATACTTTCTACATTACGACATTATAGCCATAGACGTATAATATATAGACTGCGCGTTCCCTACCTTTGCCATGTTAAGAAAATGTCTTCAACGTTGAGAGAGACAGCTGGTGTTGAACAGTAGCCTCATCTTTGTCTAGCGAAGTAGTGGGGGAAAAAGAAGTCTTTGCTGATTGATAGAATAGCAGTGGAAAAGTGGGGATAGAAAAATAGTGGGAGTGAAGAAGAGTGAAAGAGATTAAGGGGTGATGGTAGGTTATAGGTGGTATGAAACAGTAGGCCCTGATCCCACTACAGACATTGATAGACAGAGGAAGAGTTACTATTCAAAGTATGTTGTCTCTCTCAACGTTGAAGACATCTTTTCAGCCAAACGCGCAGTCTATATATTATACGTCTATNATGNAAACTAGACCATTCTTTACTTTTCGTTGTTCTTTTGTCTTGGACTGTACTCGTATAAATTTCAACCAATCAGCGACGACGAGACAAAGACAGAGATCCTAGTTGTGATCATAGACGTATAATATATAGACTACGCATTCCCTACCTTTGCCATGTTAAGAAAATGTCTTCAACGTTGAGAGAGACAGCTGGTGTTGAACAGTAGCCTCATTTTTGTCTAGCGAAGTAGTGGGGGAAAAAGAAGTCTTCGCTGATTGATAGAATAGCAGTGGAAAAGTGGGGATAGAAAAATAGTGGGAGTGAAGAAGAGTAAAAAAGATTAAGGGGTAATGGTAGATTATAGGTGGTATGAAACAGTAGGCCCTGATCCCACCACAGACATTGATAGACAGAGAAAGAGTTACTATTCAAAGTATGTTGTCTCTCTCAACGTTGAAGACATCTTTTCAGCCAAACGCGCAGTCTATATATTATACGTTTATGATTATAGCCGTGAGGCTATAATGTTTCTCAACATGTTTAACGCGTATTTGTTTTTCTTCCTCGTTACTTCCTCGCTATCGATATCGAGGGGAGCCCCGCTTTAATATCGGAGAGATCGGCGGCACGTACGAGGGATAAAGTTGAACCAGAACCTCCACTCCTCGCGCGCTCGTGTCGGGTTCGATAAAAATCTTTTTCCTACCGCGATGTATGTCACGACGTACTCTGTCGGGGGAGGGGGGGGGGTCCAACTTTTACTTCTCCCTCAACCCTCTCTCGTGTCTGACTCCACCTATGGAATTATACGGCTGCGATACGTTTGCTCTTCAGCTAGCGCTATGCCCACAGAGTTGCACAGAGACAAGGAACATAGAGAGAAGGATGTTGAGGTGGACGAGGGTGTGCGAGGAACGGGGCAGATTGCAGTGTTCGAGAATTAGAGCCGGACTGTGGTGCGGTGGAATTCGTCCGAGAGAGAGAAAGAAGCGAAGAGACGCGGAGAGGGCGCGGCAGTCCTTTGAGTTAGCAAGCTGATCCTCCTCGGCTCATCCTATAGCAAAACAAAGGGATCAAAGTGGCGCGGATACGATGGGAGGCTTTCACTTCCTCCTCTCACGCTCGCTCGGACCTCAACCTATACCTACCTCTCGTTTGTCTTGTAGTTTGTTCGGAATTTTACAGCAAACACCGCGCTGCGGCGTTTTAACAAACAGACATAAAAGAAAAGAAGAGCGCGCGCGGAGGAGAAAAGTCGGATAATTTGACGGTTCTCCGTCAGAGACGGAGGATTATTCCCTTTTCGACAATTCTCGTTACCCTCGAGTTCCCATCCACGTTCCCTTCTTCCGCCGTAGCCGGCTTATGACCGTCCTAAATCTTAATGCGATTCGCGTGCACTAACGTGATTAGGGATCTCTCATATACTTCGTCCGTCTGCGATCGTGTTATCTCTAATTACTTTGATATGCCCTTCGTGCTTCTGCTAATTCAATTATGCGCATCTAAGGCGCATCTTTGTTGAATCAAGTGTCCGAATATTATGCGCGCACAATTAGAACGTAACATTTTTTGAAGAAAGACATTTTGTTTTTTGACGCGATAATCATTCTCTCAAGATATAAGGATTGAATAAGAACAATTTCAAATTCATAATAAAAAGTGTTACCAATTGCAACGTCTGTTCGCGTGTTTGACAGCAATAGCGAGTTCCGTCCATAGAATCTCTAAAAGTGTCCTTTTAAAAAAACTAGACCCTATATCTGTATTCTCTCACGAACTGGTGAAATTAGCGCGTCGGTTTAAATTCGTCGTGACGTTATCCGACGGATAAGTAATCTAGGAGGAGATTCGAACAGGACGTAGTAGCAATGTAATCGATAATTCTCCCATGAAGGAGGATGGTTTGGTTTATAGGTGCTCTCGAGCCATCTAAATTGCGTAGAGATTAGGTGCTTGGAAGCCCGTATCCAACATCGTCGGTTGGAAGAGTAGGCAAGGGGATGAGAAATACAGACAGAAAATGAGAAGGAGTTAGAGTAAAAGGGAGAACGGTAGAATGGTAGAGAACGCGAGTGAGTGAGAGAGTGAGAGAGAGAGAGAGAGAAAGGGAGAGAGAATAAGGCTTGAAATGCAGGCAGCGCATCGCCCTCTGGTTATAACGGCAAGATGGAAGGAACGAGACTGGGTAGGAAATTTGCAAATTTTCACGACGGGGCACACGGATAATTTCCGGTTGGCTCGGCGGTTTCCGCCCTTGACAAATGACTGTGGTTTCCGGTTATTGGCTGCAGCGACGACCCCCTTCGCATTCCGAATCAGGGAGTATGTCTCTTCGAGTGCTTTCAAATGCGCAGAAGGTAGACAATACATCAGCCAAAAGACGCACCGTGCGACGTAAAATTATCCCTTGTGTCGATACTTAACATATCTTATATAGAGAAAGAAAGAAAGAAAAAGAAAGAGAGAGCGTATATATTTTTACAAAATACGATGTAAAAAAAAACAACAGAAACTCTATATTTACTTAACTTTTATATTTTACTATAAAATCTCATAGAAATAATTTTAATTACAAAATCCAAGATGTTGTTTCGACATTTTTTCTCAATAAAAAACATTGTTTCATTTTTTTACGGCTGTGTTTTTTCTTTCCAAAGAAAATTTATTTTTATTAACTCAATATCCTTGCTCAAAACGCGCGAAAAATCCCATCTACTCTACAGGAAAGCGACAAAGTGGCGTGACAACGATTTACTCACAGCGAACGTTGAGAAAATATCCGATGCTGGTGAAAATGCCGAGCATATGCCGTGTGTAGCATTTGTACCAGCCGCTCTCGGCCCGAGTGATTTTTGTGAAGTTCAACCATCCGTCATCGCTCTGCTCCACGGGGGGCGGACCATTGTCTGAAACACAAGCGGAAAGCTGGTGTATACACGAATTAACACGCTGGAAACAGCACGCACAGTCCGCGGATTTGCGTTAACGTCGTCGTTGTAGTTCGCGTCAACCGAACGAGTCAGCTGTGAGACACATTTCTGTGATATTTTTTTTTTTTTCTACAGACATCGTCATACAATTTGACAATTAATTGCTCGGAACTGGTAATCGTTAAGATATAAAATGCAGGTCGAAAAAAATTCGCAGCTTTGAAAAAGAGAGTCTCACAGAATATTTAACTATTTACATATCACTGAGAGAAAAATGCTTGGTATTTACGACTATAATTGCATAGTAAAATAATTATAGTTGGAATTCTTATTTTTATCGTTGATATTGCTATAATATTAGTAAAACTAACCTTATATATATGGTTTTGACAAGTATGTAAACATTTTGCTATAAATTATAATAATTTTAAATAGTAACATAGTCAAATGTCAAATAACAAATGGTAAATAAACTACACATTTTTAAGTAATAATTACAATCACAATTATAGTAAATGTGACTATACTGTTGACATCAGCTTTACTATTTACTGGTAATAATAACTAAAAAATAAGTAAGGAAAGTAACTTAACACATACATTTTTATGACTACATTAATAGTCTGGTTAACTATATTTTTAACTACGAATGTACTAAAGATATCGTAGAAACTATAAAAAAAATGGCCAGAAAAGTAATCATTCACATACAATGCATAGAATCATAGCAATAGTATATTTTAGTAACCACATTTATAAATAGCAATTTACTATTTTCCTAAAAACAATAAAAATCATTAAAACTAAAACTATCAGTTTTATCACTAAAACTATTGGAACCATATGCATTATAGATCAAATTATATATAAAAAGTTTAATCTTACTAATATATAAGTACGACTTCTTATTATGGCATATAGTGTTTTTATCTTTCAATTATGGTCCTTATTATCACATTTACAGTACAACTTATTATACATAAATCACAAGTTATAGTGTATGAAACCATGCATATGGTTGTATGAATGCATGTTGAAGCTATGGCAACAATAATATATTATTGAATCAACTATAAGGCGCATTGTTAAAATAACTATAAAAAATAGTTGGCACCTTAAATCACTATAAATTATAGTAAAATTGTGGTAACTGCAACTATTTTTTGCTCTCAGTGTAGATAAAAAGACATGGTGACACTGTATAAACAAAGAGATATAATTTGTATATAAAAGAGTGCGAACATGAATTGTTATATAATATTAACATGTTATATAATATTAACATAAATTGTTATATGATATTAACATAAATTGTTGTATAACATTACATGTATCATGTTAACAATAACATTAGGACGAATCGATGATGGGGAAATAAGAACAATCAGGCCGGAAGAAATGTTATTTCTAAGCGCAATTGTATTTTGTCAATTTAACTTTTCATCAAATTGTTGCGTTTTCTGAGAAAAACGTCAGTTATATTTTGTCAGATGATTTAATTCCGCTGATTACGAAACGTATCGTTTTCACGATTAAAAGCTCTTTGGTAACCGGTATTAAAATTGCATCAGCGAACTGTCCGCCTGTCTCAACTCTTTCGAAAGAGAAAGACCAGAAAGGAATATAGTCGGTCGTTTGAATTATTCGCAAGATAATTAAGATAATTACGCAATACGTCTGTCTGTCGAGACGCATCGCCTGCCGCAGCGGTTGAAATTATGAATTTATTACTGTGACCGAGCGTCACAGAACCGCTGCTGAGTCTCGAGATGAAGATGATTGAATCGGGCAAGAACAATAGCAGACGGGAGCGTCCGAAAGGGAGCATCTAAGAGAGGACACTCATTTAACTTATTCATAAGTATGGACGTGGCTTTCCCAAAGAGCCCGCTATCAATGGAAATTCTGTTGGCCTTTCTTTCGCCCGTTCGCCGCCAAAACTTTATTTCATCCCGCACACAGTCGTAGCCTATTTCTTTTCCGCTGCTGTTTCGGCTCGGTTCCGCTCGCTCCTCTCTCCCTTTCCTTTTTTTTTCTCCCACTTTCCGCATCCTCGTTCTCGACCTCGTTGCGGCGAAGTCGAGGATTCGACGCAGCTGTCGGATTCGCTAGTTGAAAGTACACCGCTCCCGCGAATGTGCAACTACCTCCTTCCTGACCCAAGGAATAAAGGCAGAGTAGTAGTCGCGGAAGACACGCTTATGAAAGCTGGAGGATTACGGTGGGGAAGATATCGAGGAAGGAAACGGAGAAGGGGAAAAGAGAATTGCACGTATCGCTCGGCGGAGTTTTGCGGTGAAACTTTTATGCGAGCCGGTCATAATCACGAAAAAGAGTAGAGAAAAGAGTAGAGTAGGCTGCCCTGCTGCCAGTAAAGAGGCCGCTGCCAAAGCGGGCTCGATTGTGTTAAAGGTATATCTATGGGGATTCTCGGCAAACGCGGCGGCGAGATATCGCGCCGTTTCGCATGAAATAAGACCGAGCCGTGACTTGGCCCAAAAAGCACGACATTCCCGTAAGCTCGGCTCGGATTCGAGCAATTTGGCCGGGAAACAAACGTTTCGAAGTGGGATTAATGCAGACGCGGCGCGTAAAACAAAGAATTCTCTACCTAAAAATCTAAACAAAGACAGACTTTTTTTTCTTATATTATAAATTTGTAATTGAAAGTAATTTGTTAATATATCTCTTTCGAGCATTTTAATAATTGTTAATAATTTATTATTTTAGAAAATTAGAGTTTATTGTTGTATAAAAAGTACTTTTTCCAAATATATCTGAAATTGCGATCTCAAAACAACATCCTCGAAGTATCCTGCACATATCACTCGAAAACCTGATATCCGTGAGTTGCACGCTACCTCCGAATGAACATGATCGCATAGAGATCGACTTCCCCTCAAGCGATTTCACACAGCTGACGCTCCCGTTCTTCTTGCAAAATGTTCCTGCGTGCAATGTATTGGTATGATAGATCATCCGACAGAACAATGATAAATTATTTTCGCGATTTTACTTGGGTCCGTCTTTGTTCAAAAGTTTTACCGTCCGATACGTTGCAAGACGTGTCTGGCAAACATATACATTATGTGTATATGTATATATATATATAT